TCTGACCTGTCTGGGTGTGAAAGTCCAATGAGAAAGTCCAGAGCCAGCATCAGGTTTCGGCTCATGTGTTAAACTTTTGCTGGGAGGAGGGGGGTCAAATGAGTCCAAAGCAGCTTCGAAGAAATTAATGCAACACATGTAGGGTTAGGCCACATGAGCACAGTCCAGCTATTTTCCCCTTCCTATATAAATATCCCCACTGCGGAACAGCAACTGGTTGATCAATCTGACTTAATGCACAACCACACATCGGCCAACTCTTCTTACCAGCCTCCTGGGTCTTAACTATCCTGAACAACTCATCTGGAAGATCTGAATGTATTCATACTGAAAAGATACTAAATGCCTCTGACTTGAGATGGGTCACATTATGGTGATAATGTCTCTCTGAGGGAGGACACTGTTTGCTAAAGGAATGTTTTACTACAGTCCAAAAATATATTCTCAGCTCAACTTTCATTTGTCTGAGCATGCAGCACGCAAGCTGCATGCAGCGCTCTAGGCGGAGAGAGTCATGTTGGCTGAAGCAGTACAACTGGCTAGTAAATACTGGCTGACACTAAGTGTGTCAACCATCGGAGGAAATCATTCACAAATGATCCCCAGCTATAGGACAGAAACATGCACGAGACAGACAGAGAGCGGAAAACCAACAAGAAAGCTCTAGTAGTGGTGTCATGAAATATGTAACATGACATTGCATGGAGTTGAACTGCTGAATCTTTTCTTAGCAGCCTTGAATTCCTGCCAGCAAAGACAAAAGTGCACCGTCTGGAGACAGAGTCGAGACTCATAAAAAAGGGAGCACTAATGATTCCCACTCATTATGCTTTAACATGAAGTAAGCTGCAACTAATTATTTCCATTAATCAAACAATCATTTTGTCCATTAATAGTCCCCCAAAAAAATTCCACTCACAAGTTCTGAAAGACCAAGGTAACTCAATTTGTCCAAAACATATTCAGTTTGAAATTATACAGGACAGAGAAAAACACATTACTCTCAAAACACATTTGAGAGACTGAAAACAGCTACTATTTAGCATTCCTGCTTGCTAAAATGCTAAAAATTGTTGCTGATTACGTTTTTGAACATCAGTCGATGGTTTCAGCGTTTAGTCAAGTATCACCCTGCCTTTCACACCATTTCATTAGAGCTGCAACAATCAGTCGACTACTTGATTAGTCGAACAACAGACAATAATCGCCAACTATTTTGATCATCAATTAATTAAGAATTTAATTGTTTTATTCATTTTTCATGCAAAAATGGAGAATGCCATTTTCTTGCATTTCTGTTTTATGTCATACTAAACTGATATTTTTTTAGGGACAGAAACTAGGATAGACATTTTTCTGACATTTTATAGACCAAACGATTAATCATGAAAATAATCGGTCTAATCTTTAACGAAAATAATCGTTGCAGCCATAATATTCATTATTTTTGACCTTTAAATGTAACCCCATCTCATGTGGGTGTAAATAAGAGCTTGTCAACACCACTCCCTCCATCCATTTATCCCAATCAGCCAAAATTAGCCCCAAGTAGGTAAATATCCTGCCAATACAGATCAGCATTCAGACTTTCCCACACACACACAAATGAAGTGGCGATGATGGTTTTCGACGAGTCTGAACCCATGGGAACAAACCATCAAGGCCAACTTCTGATGACGCTGAACTGTTGATGAATAAATGAACAACATCCTCATGCTTTGAATCACACTTTTTTTAAGCATTTGCCCTTGCTGGTAATTAATTCCCAGGATTCCACAGTGAGTGTCGTGACTGGCAGCGTGTTTAGATGTAAAAGTCTTCTGTAGGCTCCTCCGCTCACCACTGTTGTGCAGTGTCCTTGTTTAATCTCACCTAGGGCATGGACCACTGGTGACTGAGATGTCATGAGCCACAGCCCAAAGCGTTGCAATCCCAGTGTGAGACAAACACACAGGCATAGACACAAACACACACTGACATCATCATTGAACATTTCCCCGGAGCTCTCAGGCATCTATTCTTCATTTACTGCTGGGATGTGATAAACTTAACAAACAATTGCAATTTACAGGTTCCTAACAGGCTACAGTTCAAACCAACAATGTGACTTTTATTTTATGTGTGCCACTAAAATAACCCTGGAATTCATCCATAATTGAAATTGAAGTATGTTTGAAGTGCCTCAAAAAACTGAAGTCAGCCAGCAAAATGCCTCAAGTGCTACCACTGATTACCAAAAAGAGTTTCAGCATCATCAATTATAGAGAGCCTGCCCTCCTCTGAGGTACACACACTGGACTGCGAGCTAAAATGTGATGTTCTGCCTTTCACACACAGATCTACTGGAGAGAATGACAGAAATCCACGAATTTAGAAAAGATGTTTACACTGGAGATGTTCCATTCTGGCCGAACATGTGTAACAGATCTGTTAAGTCTGGTGCGCTAACAAAGGCTTCCATAAAACATGATGTACCCAAAACAGCCAAAGGGAAGACATGAATGAAGAATAAGCAGAGTAGAATAGACAGCAGGCAAAATGCACAGTGACAGATGCATGAATGATAATGTGCGCATGATGCACAAAAAAAGAAGCTTTTTTTTCATGTTCTCAGGTGGATTCTTTTACATTTTGAACCATTACTCAGTAATAAAACAATTAAGTAACAATCTACTCACTACTTTTGCGCATTCATTTTTCATACAACAGGAAATAAATTGTGGCATCTTCACCTCATCTTCTTCCCCCCCTCCCTCCCTTTACCTTCAGCGGATCTGGAGAGCACGCTGTCACACACTGATACGGAGACAGATAAAGCCTGAAGTGCTGTCAGAATCACAAACTTCAGACTCCCGGGATTCATGGTGCCCGGCTGAAAGCGTGGACGGGACTGGCCAACTGTTTCACTGCAGCGCAACCATCACAAGAACCACAGTCCCCCAACAGCTGATGTGCAAAAGTCCCCCCCTCCCCACCCTCCACCCCAAAAAA